GACACGCAGCGCCACCCCAGGACTCCAGTGCAGACTTGGAAACCCTATAGGGCAGTTCAACCCCATCCAATTTATTTCAAAGCATAAGTCCAGGCTGCTAACTAACCCAAGGACGGTGGTTCAAACCCACCAGTCACTGGAGAAAGAGGAGGCTTCTGCTCCCATAAAGATTTAGAGCCTCAGAAGCCCTAGGCAGGGTCACTGTACATCGGAACTGACTCCATGGAACAACCGTCAAGGACTGGGGCCCTGGTGACTTTAGAAACCCCAATTCCTTGTTAGACTACAGAGAGAAGTCAGAAGCGGTGACCCTGCTCGCCCAGTGGGGATTCTTTATCACGTTCACACCCTCCTGCTCATCTCGATACTGTTCCATCACATCAGTGACTGAGACCCAGGGATGAGCAGAAATCCCTCCTTTTCAATCTATACTGATTCTGCACAAGGCAGAATCAAAACGGTGCCCTGTAAGGAGCCGCTTCGACACAACCAACATCAGAATGTAGGAGCTGACGTCAGATGAGACTAAAAACAACACAACAGAAAAAGATAGTATAGTTTTAGGACTTCTGCCATATCATTTTGATCAAGGATATTCCGTTTTATAGCTAGAGACACAATGGAGCAACGGTAGTACTTGTACTGGAAAACGGTCCAGGAAAATCAGCCTTCAATACGTAAAGTCCAACTGTTTGAAGGAAAATGGACCCCTTCCGGGGCACCATCAAAAAGACCCAAAGTCTCAGAATGGGCACAGCTTTGACTACTACAGTGCAAGACACCCAGGAGTTTGGGAGTCCAAACCTAATAAAGGTGAAGCTTCCTGAGGTCCAGCAGAGATAATCCAACACGAATGGAGAAACTGGGGATTGGACACCCCCAGAACTGTAACAAGACTTTGCACTGCTAGACAGCTTTGTATGTGAGCACTAACATTTATGAGGAAGACTTCTCGTGACTCAAGGGAGATTAAATATATTCATTTAGCTCTACTCATCAATAAGGAGCTCTGGTAGTGCAATGAGTCACGAGTTGGGCTGCTTACCACAAGGTCAGCAGTTTGAATCTACCCGTTACTGCACAGGAGAAAGATGAGGTTTTCTGTGCCCGTGAAGATTTGCGGTCTCAGAAACCCTATACAGGGTCTACCTGAGTCAGATCCAACTCAACCATCATCACGTCACCACTTACACCCCGAGAGGATCCCAGTCAAGTGACAGTAAAGGAACAGATGAGGTGAAAACTTAACAGACCAGGGAGTGTGAGAGGACATAGACCAGAGATGTCAGCTGCGGATTTTCAGAGGACAGGAAGGAGGCTGATGGAGGCGGGAGAGGAAAAAGGCCAAGTCCTGGTGTGATGCTACGGGTTCAGCACTGGACTGCTAGCCACAAGGTCAGCAGTGCAAACCCACCAGAAACTCCTCAGAAACTCCATGCAGGGTTGCTATGAGTCAGAACTAACTTGACGGCACTCAACAACAACAAACAGCTTGTGAGGGATGCCAGTGAGGAGAAAGCTGACTTACCTCTGGACAGCTCAGGAAATAGGGAGAAGGGGAAGGGAGACACGTCCAAGAACCCGAGTCTGGTGGTCAGCTTAAAAGGACCGTGTAGCCACCCACCCTGCAGAAGACAACAGCAGACTTGGTGGCCACAGGAATGGCAGAGGAGAGATTAGGGATTCGAGGGTCCTTCGGGAGAACAGAAGCCAGAGTGAGGCACATAGGGTGGGGGAGTTAAAACCTGAATGAAGCCAGCCTTAGCCAAAACGCCCCTTAGAGGACAACAAGACTTCGTCTCACATACTTTGGATAGGTTGTCAGGAGGGGCGAGTCCCTGGAGAAGGATATCAGGAAGAAAGAGAAAGACCCCCAAAGACCAGAACTGAACAGCGGCAGCAGCAACGGACCTCTAACATAGCAGCTGAGTGGATGGCCCAGGAGCGGGCAGTGTTCTGTTCCGCTGTACACAGGGTTGCTATGAGTCGGAAATGACTCAACGGCACCTGCAGGTTGCTTTGTAGAAACTAAAGAACCCTGGAGAAGAGACAGACTGGCACAGTGGTGGCAACAACAGGTTCAAGCACAGACTGACTGTGGGGCTGGCGCAGGACTGGGCAGCGCTTCGCTCTGTGCTGCACAGGGCCACTATGAGTCAGTACCAACTCCATGGCACCTAATAGCTGCAACAGAGAAGAGGCCTATAATTAGTGAAAGGGCTGGGTGGCAAGACTGGTTTTGTGGGGTTTTTTTCCAAGCCAGTTTGGTAAGAATCCCCAAACCGATAGTTGACAAGTCCCACCCCGATACACAAAAGTGCCAATCAGCTCTTTAGAATCTGACTTTAATAGACGAAATTTGAGAAAAGATTTTGAAAGGAATGCGCACTTAAAACACGGCAGAGATGAATTCAGAGGCGTCAGAAACAATTGTGTAAGAAAACCTCAGCAACAACCAAGATGATAAACAACATTCCCAGTAAGATAACAAGATACTGCCTCCATCACACTTTCAAACTAAAAAGTTCAAAGAGCCAGACAAAAACTGTACAAGAAACTGTCTAGAATTTCAGGCAGCATTGACCAAGGACAGAGCTGAGGAGGACTGGGGGGGGGACACACACAAGGGGGGGGGGCACGGACACAGGGAAGGAAGTGGAAGGAGCGATGGTGCATTGTGAGGCCTGCAACCACTGAGATGGAATGCAATGTGTAGGGATTGTTGAATGGAAAACTGATCTCTGGGAACCTGCATCCAACTCATGAAAAGTTAAAAAAAAAAAAATAAAACGACAAAAAAAAAAAAAAAAAAAACACAGCAAAGTAAGCAAGAATATTACAGAATCGGTCTGTTTTAATATGCAACTAAATGGAGCTCTGGTAGCGTAGTGATTATGAATCGGGCTGCGAACCGCAAAGTCAGCAGTTCGAAACTACCAGCTGCTCCGCAAGAGACAGAGGAGGCATTCTGCTCCCATAAAGATTTACAGCCTCAGAAACCCTGTGCAGGGTCGCTGTGAGTCGGAACTGACTCCACGGCACATAACAACGACAATAGGATATTCAAGAAGCCAGAACAGAGAAATTAACACTGATAGGGATGAAATTACCCAAAAATGACTCTCAGAAATTTTCTAGAACAAAAGACAAGGAGATTCCAGTCTGAATAAGCCCATAAAGTGCCCAACACAGACAGTAATTGGGGTTGGGGGTGAGGGTGGGAGGGATACCAAGACACAGCAAATTTCAGGATGTCATTACGAATTAAAATATATCCCAAGAGCCCCCAGAAATTTTAAAAACTTTTGGGAAGTCACGTAGAGAAGATCCAGAATCATTCAGAATGGTATCTGAATGTGTTATGTTACCTGCACAGCGAGCGGACTTCAAAATATTCCCGGGAAAACGGCATTATCCTTCAATTACATTTTTCCAAAAACTTCCTGAATCCTGCTTGCATATACAACTTACCGTGTTACCTGTAGTGTGTATATACAGGTTGTTGTTAAGCGCTGCCAAGTTGGTTTTGACTCATGGCAACCCTGTATAGTGTTTCCGAGGAGCAGCTAGAGGGTTTGACCTGCTGGTACTGTGGTTCACAGTCCAGTGCTGGTCACACGGCGCCTTACCAGGATTCCTGGTGGACTGATAACTGTAAGATCAGCAGTTCAAACCCACCAGCCAGAAAGAGCTGGGGCTGCCTGAGCCAGTCAAGATTTCCAGCCTCAGAAACCCTCCACAGGGTCGCTACGATGGAATCAGACAGATGGTGATGAGTCTTTGTTTTAAATGTGTGTATGTCTATCTATGCATTTATTCAAAATTCCCACCATGGAGGCCCCTAACAGAGTCCCATAGTATAAGATAAACCAGTGTAACAATTCTGTAACAGATGTGTGACATTGTCTGATGCACACAGCAGAGTTAAGGGTCAGAGTAAGACATTTCTGAAGACAGTTCTTCCCAAGTGTTAACAACTTACTAAGTGCATCCTCCCAAGGAGCTGGGCTGTGTTCCTTTCCTTGATTTTGTATATCCCTAGCAAGGGTATTAGGAGCATGGTGGCTCAGTAAAATAAGCAGTGGACTTTGGACCACAAGGTCAGCTGTTCGAGCCTAGCAGCCGCTCCAACAAAAAGGAGGCTTTGTGCTTCCATGATTTACAACACTGGAAACCCAATACAGGGTCACTGTGGGCTGGAATCAACTCCACAACACTTAACAACAACAACAACATCTACAGAACTGGTTGTTGTTGTTATGTGCCACGGAGTCGGTTTCGACTCATAGCGACCCTGTACAGGGTTTCCGAGGCTGTAAATTTTTATGGGAGCATAAAGTCTCATCTTTCTCCTGAGGAACAGCTGGTAGTTTTGAACTGCTGACCCTGAGGATAGCAGCTCAATTCGTAACCACTACGCTCCCAGAGCTCCTTACGGCACCACAACTACACTGACCCAACACGCTGTCACAGGGAGGAATCTGTGTGGCTGTATTTATAACTGCTCGTTTGGAACAATTTCTAATGTCAGCAATTGGTTAGTTCTCATTAAGAGCTCACTTGGTCTGTTGTTGATAAATGCCCTGGAGTTGGTTCTGACTCACAGTGACCCTATAGAGCGTTTCCAAGCTGTAAATCTCTGCTTGAGTGAAAAGCTTCATCTTTCTCCCACAGAGTGGCCGGTGGACTCAAACTGCCGACCTTGTGGGTCACAGTCCAGTGCTTACCCCACAGAGCCACCACGCTCCCCACACTTGGTCTAGGCAATATGACATGTTGCTTAGGAGCAACTGTTGGCACAAAATTGAAGAGGTCAGTCTGGCCAGTTTGAAATGGCTCCCCGAGTCTTCCAGGATCAAGCAGCTTTGCTCCCCGTCCTTTAAAGGTGGTTTTACTCCACTTTCTTGGCATTAATTCCACTGATAGAAGCGAACAGCTTTTTTTTTCTTGAATAAATTAGGAAGGCATCATCTTGAACGTCAGGTATCAATGGTACTTACGTTGACTAATCCGAAATAGTGCTCGTTGACTGGGAACTGCTCTGGACCAATCTCTTTCTCTAACGCCGAGGCATTGGCGCCCTACAGGATGAAAAAGACAGACCTTCAGTCACTTTGGTTATTTTCCCAATGGTAACACAATTACAGAAACGCAACGGAGCCACTTGTTAAACACACACACACACACACACACATATATATAAACGAAGGAAGGAATGAAGGATCCATGCTTCCTAGAATGCATAATGCTGACAGAAAACTAAAAATAATACCAAACAATGACGGTGGCTAATAATTTGACTGAAAAAGAGTTTACAGACTCTTTCTTGTGAAATTAAATAAGAATTCTAGTCACCACTTGTTCCTCCTTCCTAAGTACTAAAGTACAGCCCCTAGGACCCGGGGTGTGTAAATGGCTAACACGCCAGTGGCTAACTGGAAGGCAGGCAGTTGGTGTCCACCTAAACCCAGTCAATTGTGACTCACAGCAACCCTACAGGACAAAGGAGAACTGCCCTACAGGGTTCCCGGGGGAAGTAAAATGCCACATCATGCTCACTCACAGCGGCTGGTGGGTTTGAACCACTAACCTTTCAGTCAGCATTCCCAATGGTTAGGTTAACCTAGACACACACTGAAAAAACAAAGTCTGCCAGTCAACTGCTAAAATATCAGCCATAGAAAAGACCAATCTCTTTCTCACACATGAAGTCACCACGGAATGGTAAACAGTTTTCTATCATGTATATTAATGGAGGTGTCCTCTGAAACCAAGGAGCCCTGGGGAGGGGGGGGCGATGGTTAAGTACTTAGCTGTTAACAGAAAGGTTGATGGTTCAAACCCACCCGTGCCTCCACAGAGAAAAGACCCGGCAATGTGCTCCCATAAAGAGGACACAGTCCCCAAAGCCAACGTTCTCCAGCCTACTGTGCTGAGGAGCGTCTGGGATCTGAAAAGCTCATGAGCAGCCATCTAAGGTAAAGCTAGTGGTCTCTCCATGTGGGGAAGAAAGAAGACTGCTGAGAAGTGAAGAGGTTTGGAATCAATTACCCACTGGATGAATGGAACACGTGACCATCCGTCTCCATGGCTCTGAGACCAGAAGAACTAGATGGTGCCCGGCTACCACTACCAACTGCTCTGAAAGGAAGCACATTAGAAGGTCTGGATAGAGTGGGAGACAGTGTGGAACGAAAGTCATAATTATTTTTTTTAACTCTGGACTTACCGGTTAGAAAGAGACGGGAGGAACCTGAGACTATAGCCCTCACCCACCCTTCAGATCTGGACAGGAACTCACCCTCGTGACCCAATTTTTAGCCAATTAGTAGGCAGGTACATAGTGGGGGAAACAACACTAGTAAGACATGCTCACCATGGGATGGTCAACCATTCCGAATAAGAAAATCAACATTTACCTCAGGACCAAGTGGAGCAGGGATGGGAAGGAGGGTGGGATGGATATAGGAGGCCCAGGGAGATGGGGCATGGTGGGGACTGCAATCACTGAGATGAAACAAAGTGTCTGATTTGGTGAACATAAAAAACGACTGATCTTGCCAGTAAACCTTCTCTCAATTCACAATAAAATGATTTAAAAAAATTAAAAGAAAAAAGCTTGCAGCCTAAGAAACCCCGCGGGGCAGTCCGACTGTCCAATCTGGGAGCTATGAGTCAGAATCCGTTCAACAGCACCAAAACCGAAGACCAGCCATCCTGGAGAACCGAAGCTTTGTGAAATTAAATGTAAACATACACAAATCATCCTCGCATTATGCTGGGAAATATCAGTAAGTCCAGATCCTCACCACCTACTGCAAACACTCACAAGGAGCCCTGGAGGCACGGTGCTTAAGTGCTTGGCTGCTACCTGAGTGCTGGGCAGTCTGAACCCACCATGAGAGAAAGATGAGGCTGTCGGCTTCCATTAAGATTTTTAGCCTTAGGAACTCTATTAAGACATGCTATTCTGTCCTTGTCACGCTTGTTAAAGTGGAGGGTCCATGGAAAAGCAGACCCTCAAAGAGCTGGACTGACCGACACAGTGGTGGCAACACTTGTGAGGCTGGCGTGGGCCAGGCAGGTTTCACTCTGTTGTGAGTCAGAATCGACTCAATGGTGCCGAACAGCAGCAACAAAACCGCCAGAATCAACTCAGCAACTGTGGGTTTCGTTTCTTCTTTGGCCCTGGACTCCCCAAACGCCTGACAACGAAGGCCACCCCAAACCCACTCCTAACCCCAAGGTCTGCAGCGCATGGGACATAATGTGCGATAAAATGGGAAGGTCCCCCAGTCACTGAAAAGCCCTCATGTATTGAACAAAACGGTCAGACTCCTCAGGGATTTTCACACCACTGCCCGCCCATCCCGAGGTTCATCTGCCAGGTTTTCATAGGAAACTTCACACGAGTTAAGGTATGAACCATGAAAAATGCTTACAAAATAAAGAGATTCGCTTTCTTAAATCCCTTCTAGTTCAACAGTCCTGGGGTGGTCTATAATACTGCTAACCATAAGGTCGGCGGTTCAAATCCACCAGTGGCTCCTAGGAACCCCTATTCAGGGTCGCTGTGAGTTGGAAGAGACTCCACAGCACTTAACTACAGCTCAATAATCTATCATTTCCCATCACTCTCATGACCGCTTCTGGGGACATGGTCCATGTTCTCCATCCAGCAAGTAGAAGCTGGCCAGTGCATGCCAGGCAAGGAAATGCAACAGCCAGAGGGAGGATGCTGGCCATGGTGGAGAGAAGGTGGTAGATCAACATGCAAAGCACAAACAAAGGGGGAAGGGGATTCACTTCTACCCAGAGACAAAGCACACTACAGGCGGCTGTGAAGGTGCCCAGCGGGCTGATTCCTTCCACAAATGCAGGCAGGCACATTCCTAGGGAATCCAGGCCAGGTTCTCCTGGCGGAAATGATTCAGGAGCACTGCTATCTCTAACCTAATGCTGACCAAGAAACTCAAATGGGTATATTATTAAGCATGCCAGTTTCTGATGTGTGGTTGTAAAATTATTATTATTATTGAAAATATGTTTTCAGAGGCAACACCGGAGGAGGTGAAGTGTACACTGCGTGACACAAGTAAATGAAGTCACTAATAAGTACACAAGAACAAGGAACCTGTTGGTAATTACTAGGGCACACAGGATTTTGAAAGATTCCCGCCCCCCCCACCACAAATGTATGTGCCAGTATATACGTATGTACAAGGGGGGTTCACAAAGTTTGTAGGGAAATTCCATTCTCTTTTCATTCCATTGGTCCATGAGTTTCAGAAACCCCCTTACATAGGAGGCGTATGAGTGCATACTGATATGTAATTCGGATAAGCACCGGACTGCACACCACAAGGTCCACGGTTCGGGCCCACCAGTCGCTCTGTAGAAGAAAAATAAGGCTTTCTGCTTCCACAAAGATTTACAGCCTTGGAAATTCTATTGTTAAATGCCGCCTAGTTTGTTCTGATTGTTCGTTAAGGGTTAGACTGCTCATCTCAAGGTTTCCGGTTCAAACCCACCAGCCGCTCTTCAAAAACCCTGTTAAGGGTCACTTACGAATTGGAACCAACTTGACAGCACTTAACAACGATGACAACAGGTCCCTGGTGGCACAATGGGTTAAACACTGGTTTGCTAATGGCAAGGTCGGAAGTTCAAACCCACCATATGCTCCACAAGGAAACAGATGAGGCCAGGTGTTTCGTAAAGATGACAACCTCGGAATCCCTGTGGGGCAGTTCTGCTGTGTCCCATAGGGCATGGTGGCTACACAGCAGAGGGGTTTTAGCAAGGCTACGGTCTGCTCCTGGCCACACCACTAACTAACTAGCTGTCTGACTTGCAATGAACACTCCTTGCTCTGGACCCAGCTCCATCATCCGTAAAATCACCAGGTGTGTCGTACCTCCCGTCCCCACATGTCTGAAAAAGTCTGAGCCTGTCAGCTCGTCTGCTCTTGCTAAAACACTAATGACAAAATACTGGCTTGTCTAGTGAAGGCCAGCCGTGAACAAAATGCGGAGTGAAAGGTCAGTCATAGTGCCCGGGACTCTGAAATAAACATCTGAAGACAAACACTGGAGGGCAGCATGGTAAACACTGGAAGCTTCTCTAGGATGAATTGGTGAAGACAGGTAATGAGTCTTTTTACAAGAACAGAAGTTCAAGTGAAAGGACAGTCAGCTGAAACCACAAGGAGACCTTGGGTCTGGTATTTTGATAAAAGTCTCAGACAGCATTTCACATGGGGCTGACAGATCTAAGATACAATCGGAAAACAGGAAAGGAAAATCACCTGGGAGATGGGTCACTTGTGATGAAATCATTGTTGGACATGACAACCCACAGAAAACACAGAGCTGACGGTCCTCACGCAGATGATAGGACAGAGACAGATACAAGGCAAGACTGGTTACTAGAGATGTCGTCAAGTCTGCTAAGGCTATCTGGCCCACATCACCCACCCACATCTAAAGCTGGAGTGTGGTTTCTTAAAACAGCAAGCAAACACTGTCTGTGAGGCAACGCCACCTGGAAAAGTCTGAGGACTGTCAGCAGAGACCATCGAGGGAGCCCTGGTGGCGCAGTGCTCAAGTGACTCAGCTGCCAAGTGAACGGTTGGTGGTTTGAATCTCCCAGATGCTCTGTGGGATTCTGAAAGGATGATCGTTTTGGAGACCCTCTAGGGTAGTTCTACTCTGCCCTACAGGGTTGCTATCGTCAGAATCAACTCGATAGCAACCGGCTTGGTTTGGGGGTTTGGTGGCACAGTGGTTGAACACTTGGCTGCTAACCAAAAATCTGTGGTTCAAATCCAGTGCTCACCTTTATAAGTTTAGTACTGGAAGGGCTGTGATCGGGGGGACATGGACCTGTGGTAACATCTGTGAGTGGAGTTGACTCCACGGCACTTAATAACAACAACACAACCTTTAAAAACTGCTACAACTTTCTCCCCTGGAATGACCGATGGCTTTGAACAGCGCCAATCTTTCTACTGGCAGTTGCGTTTAACCAGGGTGCCACCAGACAGGTAGGAAATCATTAAAAAACGAATTTTAAA